ACACTACACCCTACACAGCACACTACACCCTACACACACCCCACACCACACACCCCACAATACACCCCACACAGCACACCACCCCACACAGCACACTACACCCTACACACACACTACACCCCACACTACACCCCACACACACCCTACACTGCACACCACACCCTACACCACACCCTACACCACACCCACACACCCTACACAGCACACTACACCCCACACAGCACACTACACCCCACACACACTACACTCTCACCACACCCTACTACACTCTACACAGCACACCACACCCTACACAGCACACTACACCCCACACTACACTCACACACACCCCACAATACACCCTACACAGCACACTACACTCCACACCACACCTACAATACACCCCACACTACACCCCTACACCACAACACACCTCCACACAACAATATACCCTACACAGGCAAGGAAACCCCAGCGGGTGGTAGTAGGGTGACCACCTGTTGTGTCGTGCATGGCTTCCACCCCTCCCTCCTCCTTCCCTCCCTGAGGCACCGCCCCAACCCCCTCCTTTCCCTTCTCTTCTCCTCACTTCTCCTTCTGTTCTTCCTCTCTTCTTCCTCCGTCAGTACATTTTATTCTCATTCTCTCTCACAACATGGTCATCTTTATTTTATCTAATTTTATTTTTCAATTCTTAAGACAACCTCTTATAATATCCTATGAGCCTGACCCACAGTTATTCATGTTTGTTACGATATATATTAACACATATACCAGCTATTCTTTTTATCTAATGACAGAATTTCCCGCCCAAATTGGAATATTTCAACCATTAAAAACCTCATAAAAACTAGAGATTTTTTAAAATATAATCAATATATATCCCATCAAACGTTGTGAAACCTAAACATAAAAAAATGCTAAAACTCCTGAAATTCAAACATTTAAATATCCAGTTAAAACTCATGAAAGATAAATAAAGTATTAATATATCCTGCAAAACAAGTAACGTGTATTTTACCTTATTGAAATCTCCCGCCAACACCAACATTTTAACTATAATAACAGAATCTTCCGCCAAAACCAACACATCTAAATTAAAATATTATCAACACCATCTCAGGAGTCTTCCCGCTCCCACGGCGCCAAACTCCCTCAAACAACTGACTCTCACTCCACATCCTCTCCGATCCCTTTCCTCTGCGGCGGCCGATTCCCTAAAACTGTCTGTGATCCTGTTAAGGGGGAGGGAGAGGACGATCCAACCCCCAGGTAGCGCGGGTAAGTGATCCTCCGCCTTCTGTCACCGATATCGCCTTCTGTCACCGATACCTTAGCAGTGACGGTGTAAGCGATACCGGGCGTCTGGCGAGAGGAACTAATTAACCTGTCCATCTCGGAGGTCGAAAATCACAAGAAAGGGAGATAGAGGCTTAGTCCTTATGCTTAAAACCGAATTGTGGGGATTTTGCGCGGTGAGAGTGTAGGTGTATTGATGTGTGTATGACCTGGTGGGTGTATCAGATTTATATGGAGACTTTAAGGTATACTTATTGATGTTGTGTTGTGTTTTAAGGGATCTTCCGGGTGATATATGAGGGAAATACAACTTAACATATACGATAATAAATATATTGTACTATAATTTATAAATAGACATATACATTAATTCATACATTATGTAAAATCAGTCAGTAAATAAAAGGTTACGTCCATATAAACTATACTTATATACAAAAAATGTAAGGGGCTGCACACTTAGGTCTCATAATATATACGCATACACAAACACGTGCACACAAATGCATACAAACAAAGTTCACACACGCACTTGCATACACACATACATTCATAAACAATCACACATGCATACACACAAAATACACATACATGCATAAACATAACATACATACATACATACATACATAAACATATACTGTACACACACACACACACGGAGTACTGTAGCAAAGATGGTGTATCGCAAGAGTTGCAGTGCAGATGTTACTGTTTAATGTATAGCATTTAGACAGACTTGAAGGTATACCATAGACGGAGTTAACAGTATAGTATACAGACAGCTGACAGTGTAGTATACAGACAACTGACAGTATAGTATACAGACAGCTGACAGTGTAGTATACAGACACCTGACAGTGTAGTATACAGACAGCTGACAGTGTAGTATACAGAGACAAAGGATATATACAGACAGCTGAAGTGTAGTATACAGAGAAGCGATAGTAGATACAGACAGCTGACAGTGTAGTATACAGACAGCTGACAGTATAGTATACAGACAACTGACAGTGTAGTATACAGACAACTGACAGTATAGTATACAGACAGCTGACAGTGTAGTATACAGACACCTGACAGTGTAGTATACAGACAGCTGACAGTGTAGTATACAGACAGCTGACAGTGTAGTATACAGACAGCTGACAGTGTAGTATACAGACAGCTGACAGTGTAGTATACAGACAGCTGACAGTGTAGTATACAGACAGCTGACAGTGTAGTATACAGACAACTGACAGTATAGTATACAGACAGCTGACAGTGTAGTATACAGACAGCTGACAGTGTAGTATACAGACAGCTGACAGTGTAGTATACAGACAAAGACAGTAGTATACAGACAACTGACAGTGTAGTATACAGACAGCTGACAGTGTAGTATACAGACAACTGATGTAAGTGTGGCAGGCAAGCAAGCAGACAGCTGGAGTGTATACAGACACCTGACAGTGTAGTATACAGACAACTGACAGTGTAGTATACAGACAGCTGACAGTGTAGTATACAGACAGCTGACAGTGTAGTATACAGACACCTGACAGTGTAGTATACAGACAGCTGACAGTGTAGTATACAGACAGCTGGACGGTATAACATAGACAGCTGACGGTATAACATAGACAGCTGGTGGTATACCAGACAGCTGACGGTATAACATAGACAGCTGGCGGTATAACATAGACAGCTGGCGGTATAACATATTGCAGCTGACGGTATAACATAGACAGCTGACGGTATGAATATAGACAGTTGACGGTATAAATACTACAGCTGACGGTATAAATTATTAGACAGCTGGCGGTATAAATATAGACAGCTGGAAAGAATATTGCATTGGAAGCTGGACGGTATAACATAGACAGCTTACGGTATAACATAGACAGTTGACGGTATAACATAGACAGCTGACGGTATAACATAGACAGCTGACGGTATAAATATAGACAGCTGGCGGTATAACATAGACAGCTGGCGGTATAACATCATAGACAGCTGGCGTATAACAAAGACAGCTGGCGGTATAACATAGACAGCTGACGGTATAACATAGACAGCTGACGGTATAACATAGACAGCTGACGGTATAACATAGACAGCTGGCGGTATAACATAGACAGCTGACGGTATAACATAGACAGCTGGCGGTATAACATAGACAGCTGACGGTATAACATAGACAGCTGACGGTATAACATAGACAGCTGACGGTATAACAGACAGCTGACGGTATAACAGACAGCTGACGGTATAGCAGAAAGACAATTAGAACAACAGCATTAGCTCCTAGCCGCCCGCCTTCCTTGACCTGACTGGTAGATGTTGGCCCCGAGGCGGAATGTTGCCATGGTCAACTCTTGGTTACCCTTGTTTGAGTAATAATAATAATAATAATAATAATAGTAATAATAATAATAATAATAATAATAATAATAATAATAATAATAATAATAGTAATAATAATAATAATAATAATAATAATAATAATAATGTCTCAAATTACAAAAAAAAACAGAGTAGTGAGTTAGGATAGGCATGCTTGTACGTTTGTACAAACGGGCTAGTAGTTATGGTACGGGCTAGTAATATACAACCGCTAGTAAGTTCGGACAGACGGACTAGCAACTCTGGCGGGCTAGCACATACGCGGCAGATTAATTCGGCTTCATAAATAAACATCAAACGTAATAACGGCATTTTACCCCCTATACGTATTATAAACCCGTATTCAGTTTTACGTTGAATATAAAGTTTTATCCCAATAATCTCTTTATGAAACGCAGTGAAAAGTAACAAAATAAAAAGCAACGTCAAAAACAAAAAAATATTATATAACCCGCGACCACAATATTTGGAGATTTTTGACCCCGCGCCATACCTTTCATCGACACTCATTTGTTTCACTTTTGTTGGCTGGCAATTTTAACACCAGCGAGAGAGAGAGAGAGAGAGAGAGAGAGAGGGAGAAAAATATTTATTACCCCCTGGCGTTGGCCTTTAACCTCACTGTCGCTCCTGGTCGACCGCAAATTGTCCGTTTTAACAAAGTACGGGGATGACGACGAGTTTTCACGGACGGGCACGGACGAGCGCTGGTCGTAGTTATATACCAGTTTGCCCTCCCTCTCATATGGTCAACACTGCCGCCTATTGTTTGTTTACAAGGCAGCTTTAACCCTTGCGATAACAGGCCTAAATTTTTAAATATACTCGTCTATATACAAATCCTAGTCGACTACCCCGGACCGCTTTTAATTCCATTTTTTCTCCTCGTCTACGGGCTTTAGTAATAATTTAAGTCATGTGCAAGATTTAAAGGTAACTGAAAGAAAAGAAAGGGGAAAAAAGTGAAAGTTTCAGATATTTCGCGACCATCACTGTTGCCGCGATAAGTTACCCGCCCCCGACTCCATCCTCGCGCGCTGATTGGTCCACGGGGTAGGCAAGACACAGATCCCTCATCAACCCTCAACCTTCCTTAATCCACTTACAAGATTACCGCCAAAATTAGATCTTAAATCGCTATAGACACTTGCGTACTTTACTATTTACGCAATCACGACCTCCACATTGTGTTAAGAAAAATGGAAAGACTTGGAAATAATGATCATGGAGAGAGCGCCCCAAGCAAGGAATCAATATCTGTTAATTCCGCAGCTGTCAGGCGTCCGGTACGACACTCTGGGCAGGAATTGGGATGATGAAGAGCACGTGTACGGAGTCAATACGCACATAACGCGTGCAGGCACCGCCGTCGAGGGACCGCTTCGCTACATTCCCACCTCCTCGTCCTTCAGATAGTGAGCTGCTTGTGGTAAACGCAACAGTAGCTGGCGTAGACGCTTTTATTTATCAATTAACTGAGACAAAGAAATGAAGTGACTTTAATATTCCCCGAGTGGTGTCAGTGATCGGAAGGCGAGAGTGAACAGCTGAGAATAAAAAAAAAAAAAACTTGAGTGATCTCTTTAAACGTGGACATTTTAACCGATATGATTCTCTACGGGAACGCGGCCTTGACTCCCTCGCCATCCTCCTCCTCCTCGTCGTCGTCGCCAATATCTCAAACAACAATGTCGCCTCAGTGTGGGCTCGGGGTTGGTGACATCTCCCTAACACACTGCAAGAGCGAGTTGAACGACCTCCTGCTGCCTCCTAACATCCACCCCATGTTATTGTGTGAGTCTAAAGCGCCTTCACCTGCTGTCATGTTCCCTCTTATTATACGTGTGTGTCAGTGAGCATATGTGGGGCGTAATTTAAGCATGTATGTGTTTATGGGCGTATTAGTGAGCGTATGTAAGCGTAATTTGAGGTGTTTGTGTATGTTTAAGCATTAAGCGTAATTTGAGGTGTTTGTGTATGTTTAAGCATTAAGCGTAATTTGTGTGTATGTGTCTTGGTGAGTGTAAGACCTTAATGTGAGTGTTTATGTATATATTAGTGGGTGTATGTAGACCTATGTATGTTGGCGGCTGTATTCGTTTGTAGAACCTTTTTGTTTGTTTGTGAGTGTATGGAGGCCTATGTGTGTGTGTGTGTGGAGGGTTGTTTGTGAGCACTGTATATGTAGGCCTATGTATGTCTAGGTGTGAGTCTATATTGGTCTATCTGTGTGTGTTGGTGAATGTGTAGGCCTATGTTGGTGAAACTATATGTAGGCCGGCACTATAAAAACATACGGTCTATCTCTAAGAACCTGGTAAATATTTGACTATCCCAGAGTACAATAAACTAAGTACTGTCTGACTCAAACTCGGTAAGGTTGGTACTTCTGATTGTGTGATGCATTGCGTAACGATGTACTCAGTATATCAAGTATAGTTAATATAGAGAAAATAACAGGAATCACCCTAGTAAATGAGTGTTGTTGAGAATTCTTAGTCCGGTGCAGAAATGTTTTTTTTTTTTTGGTTGACTGTTCAATACATAAGTCATTACAGTACAAACGAATGTAGGTGTTTGTGTACCGGAGAGTGTATAATACATTGTGTTTGTGTGTGTGTGCATGGGTTCTAAATGGGTGTGCTTATGGGTGTTTGGAGAATGAGGAAGGACAACGGTGTGGGCTAAACAATACCCATGAATATCTGAGTGTGTGTGTGTGTGTGTGTGTGTGTGTTTATTTGCTGATGTATAGGCTTTTGTGTGCGGTTGTTTGAGTAACGTGTGTTTGTGTCTCTGTGTGTGTATACAGTATAGAGGTATGTGTGCGTTGGTGTATGTTTGTGTGTTTTTTGTGTGTAGACTGCATATATACGTACACCTTGATTTATGTATAAATGTGTAAGCATGTAATTAAATGCAGGATTTTGTACATATGATGAATGTGTTTGTGTAACATTACTTTACATTCGATAAATCATTTAAAAACAATAAAAGCTTTGTAAAATTTATCCTTTGGTAATATAATATAATAATTTTATTTTATTTATGTCATCGGTGTCTCCGGTAAAAATATAATTTAATTCTACTTCTATATAAATATTTTTTTCCGATCGGGGTAAAATTGTTGTGGGTTATGTATTTACCTTCTGTTGTGTATCGGAATATTAAGACTGTGCTGTGGTGGTTAGCGTCAGGTATGGTGAAATGTTTATTGTTATTAGTGTATGTCTATTATTATTATTATTATTAAAAACTAATACAACGACAATTGTTATTATTTAGGCCGCCAACTTAGTGTCTGTGTACAAGGAGTTAGTAACATCCATTCTCATATCATTAATTAGGAGGAAGTAAATATACCCGTATTAACCCTTGAGACACAACCTGACAAACCTTAGCCCCAGTAAGCCACTTCCTCACATCACCTGTTAAGAGGAAATATTACCTTTGTGAGCCAGAGAGAACCTTGGCGTTAGTCCGTCAGCCAGCAGTTAAACACATTACCGTGCCACTCATATACTCCCAGATATACAGCCTGCACAGGTGTTGAGCTTATCGCTTATTTTATGAGTAACACACACACCTGTGGAAGTGAGTTATACACTCTGGAACGTTCTAGTAGTATGATCATACAGCCTGTGCAGTTTTATCGGGTTCTGGGGCCGATTTATCTACATTTACTTATAATGCCGTACAGAAGTTATACAGTTCACCCCATTTTCCAGATTGTATTTGAGCGATATATATGTGTGTGTGTGTGTGTGTTACGTTATTTTTGCGAAATCGGTTATTTTGCAAAATTCCCGGCATGCATACTGGTAATTTTGTGAAATAACTTACAAACAGACTAACCAAAGTAAAAAAAAAAAAGAACAGGACCACTGAACTGTGTATCAGTCTACACGAGCCAACCTAACCTAACAACCTAACCTAACCTAACCCAACCTAACCCAACCCAACCTAACCTAACCTAACAACCAACCTAACCTAAAACCTAACCTAACCTAACCCAACCTAACCTAACCTAACCTAACCCAACCCAACTAACCCAACAACCCAACCCAACTCCAACCCAACCCAACCCAACCTAACCTTAACCCCTAACCTAACCCAACCTAACCTAACCTAACCCAACCTAACCTAACCCAACCCAACCTAACCCAACCTAACCTAACCTAACCTAACCTAACCCAACCTAACCCAACCTAACCTAACCTCTCACTTAACCTAATAATAAGGTTAGGTTAGTTTAGGTTGTCTGTTTGCAAGTTATTTCGCAAAATTACCAATATGCATGCCGGGAATTTTGCAAAATAACCGATTTCGCCCCAAAACGTAACATATATAAATGAGTACAGTATGTATATCTCAAACACATAAACCTATCAATATACATTAATATATAACTAAATTACTGATCAAAAAAATTACAATATCAAACAGAAAAGAAAAAAATGCTGATTTCTTGATCTGATGAAACGATTTTTTTTTATTTAACGAGAAAATCACTTGGTGGGATTTTCTCCGTGATTCAAATTTTTTTTATTATTTTTCCTGAGTGATGGGTTACGTTCCCCGCCATAATGAACTGGCTTTACTCATGATGATTATTTGAGTCACGAATTATATTGAGAAAAATGACTCTGGTAATAATTATAGGAAAAAAAAAATGCCAGTGGATAAAATTCTATGAGGAAAATTTCCCGAGACAAAATCACTTCTGAATAATTGTCACTCGATACCATACCCGCAACGACAACCCTGACACCATATTTCTCGCCATCATTATTATTATCAGTCAGTCATCATCATTATGTCATTATCAACATCATTATCGTCATCTTCATTAATCATTCATCTTAATCATTATCAGTAGGATATCTTCAATATCATCATTATCATCAATACCATCATTATCAATACCATTATTGTCACCACCATCGTCTCTATCATCAATACCATCTCTATCATCATCATTATCAATACCGTTATTATCATCACCATCATTATCATCACCACCATCTCAATCGTCATCATCATCATCATTATCACCAATACCATTATCATCATCATTATCATCAATACCATCATTATCATCACCATCATTACCATCAATACCATCATTATCATCACCATCATTATAATCACCATCATTATCATCACCATCATTATCATACACAAGTACAGTAAGAGACAGTGTAACAACATACGTGTCTCTCTAACAGGTGTACTCTTTTAATCACATATACTGTAGCTACTTAATGGTACACCTGTGAGTGATCAGGTGTGTACCCTGTTACATTGGCACACCTGTATTTTATAAGCGATTTTGCCGTTCTGTCGTCCATGCCACCGTACAAGTGCGGTTGTGAGTTCATCTCGCGCGGGTAAAATATCTTTCAGTTTTGTCAAGCAAGGCCGTAGGTGATGGGTTATGTGGACGTAGACAACTAGAACATAAGAGTGGAGGAAACTGCAGTGGGCAGTCCCGTTTACACCCAACCCCTATTATTTGTATTTGTGTTCGCACCGCCCTCTCTCTCTCTCTCTCTCTCTCTCTCTCTCTCTCTCTCTCTCTCTCTCTCTCAGTAAACTCAGTAAGACAGAGGCAGGAACTGGAAGGGACTCAACACAGCCCCAAAAAGAATTACTGTTCCGTACTGTTCTCGGTGACTTCGTGGCTGAGAAACACACCCTGAGAGTCGCCTGGCAGTGTCTGTGTTTGGTGTAATCAATGAGTGATATAGGCTTTCTGTTTAACCAGCCACGGGTTACGCTCACACAGTCACTCACCCTCACCACCAGTCATCACACACACACACACACACACACACACACACACACACACACACACATAGCGCTTGCCCCCGCTTACAACACCTCCTCGTCAGCGCACCGGCAGACAAGTAAATAATAATGTCCGTCTACGCCTGCGTCCCAGACATGTTCCCGTAAACTTACATGTTAATCAACCACATGTCTACAGACGCTTAAAACTCTGAAGGGAGAACAATAATGTAAAGTTAATGTGTTATTATTATTATCATTTGTAGTTTTGTGGCTGTGGACACTTAATACCACAACCATAACAAGGACTCCAACCAGAAAAACAACCACAACACCCGACGAGTGTTTATTGTTGCTAAGGGTGGCCATACAGCAGCCTGGCCAGGAGACAATATAACAGGTGCAACGTCAAACAGTCATAACCAAGGTCCAGTGAGTAAAGCTGTGAACAGTTAGGTTAGGTGCCTAGGAACACACCTGCATGGCTTCTACAGGTGTTCCATATAAGTCATCACCCTAGCAACACACCTGCCTACTCCCCTTCCCTCCCGAAACTAAGAATGTTGACACGCCATCGAAGTCTACCGTGTTACGCAAAAGTAATACGTAACATATTATTATACAACATACAGGGTGGTGCGAAAATAATTATATGCCTTTAGCGGCTATAAGGGAAAATTACGTGTAATGTTAATCGTTGTAATGTAAAAAAAAAAAAAAAACTTACAATGAACCAAATTTGTATGCAAAGAAAATCAAGGTTAAATTTACACTACCAATGTACAGTGTACAGTTGCCAGCAAAAGTTCTCCCACAGCCCTGTGTAGCAAGTTTGTGGGAGGACTTTTGCTGGCAGCTGTACATCAATTAATTCATGAAATACGAACTAGCAAAGACTACGCTCCTTTCCTTTAAATCATCCCTTAAAAAATATCTATTGTCTAAGTATTAATATTTCTTGTAACACTTACTATATTTACGGTACCTTTTTTTTTGTTTTTTTTTTTGAGCATCAAAACCGTTTTATCGGAAATTATCATGTAAATAGATAAGTAATTACCATTGCAATAAACATATTTGCCAACTAGGCATAATCCTGACAGCTCTGTCCTCTTGTTCAACCTTATTACTGTACAACCCATGATGTACTGCTCCCCATTCTACTTATGTTTTTCAATTCCACTCTAATGTATGTATACAGTATATAAATAAAAAAAATAAAAAAATAAAATAAATAAATAAAATAAATAAATATTGAAGTGATAACCGTGGTAACATGTTCTTATTACCACCATGCTATTGTACTATTCCAGGTGATACTAAATGCTACATAATACTTCCTTGAGATAAATGTATAGTATATATCAGGTGCCTCAAAGAGAGCTCAGGTTCTCAACTGGCTCAGCCATGTTAATATTGTTATTATTATCCACTCTGTATCTGTGTTTTTCTGACTAAATAAACTGTTTCAATTAAATTCAATTCAATAATATATCGGTATAATTCTTCAACATTAACACCACAATCTGTTAGATACTGGTACACCATCATCATACCTCACGACTTACAACACACACAAACAAATGCCTTATCATCAAGCCAACCTGTGAATACTTTATCCCTAAAACAATATATCCTTCAGTCACATCAACCCAAGAAACGTTTACATGGGAGTTACAAGACTACAAACGTTTGGCTCAAGAGTCGCAGACATGAAGTACCTCTATAACAAAATCGTTCGTCAGACAATCAGACTAAGAGACAAATGTCTTAGGCCACAATAAACTAAATCTCTCATCACAAAATCAAACAAAATTTTCCGCCATAATAACATTAAGCAGTTAATGACGTCGGCAAGTGACCCTAACCATCAACTGTTTGTTTACCAACAGCGACCATCCCCAAGTGTGCGGGGTGCTCTGAGGCCATCCTGGACCGGTTCATCCTTAAGGTGCTGGAGAGGACGTGGCACTCCCGTTGCCTTAAGTGTGCTGACTGTGGGGCGCAGCTCACAGACAAGTGCTTCGCCAGGAACCAACAGGTGTACTGCAAAGAGGACTTCTTCAGGTAGGTATTCACAAGTGGTGGTCTATAAGGTTAGCGATGGGTCTGTTGTTAATGTGTTGTGATGCCTCGCGCGTCGACGTACAGTACATAATAATATATCAAGTTGCCACAAGAAAGAGCAAGAGTTAATGATGAGTTGTGTTTCGCGCGGGGCTGGCCATCTTGCTCCCGTCACCAATAATGGCCCCCAACCAAACGAGCAACATATCGTACTGGTCGATCAATGTTTTATTTTTCTTATATCAATAACGATAGCGGGACAGTAATACAATTAACATGATTGATTTATTTGATAGCATTAACTCTGTAACTAAAGCAGGGGATACTACAGTTGTTGCTGCAATAATCATACGTTTGGCAGCGTCGTGTGAGCTGCCAAGGATATAATTTGTCTTAGTGGGTCAAGAAAGACGACCACAGAGCTCAGTAAATGCAGAAAAAAAAATTACACTAACAGAAATTAGGTCACTCTTGTACGTAGGAGGATCTGTCAATAGATTAATGTTGACAATTGTTATTTATTTATGAATATTATTTTTCGTTTGTCCAGTCTGTTTTAGTTCCAACCATTTTATTGTTAACAACTTAAAAGATTAACTACAATATAATACAAGATATTTAATATAATTTTTCTGACAATGTTGTAATATTTATTTTTCTTTTTTGTTTATTAATTCACAAAAGTTTTAATTTCCTCGATTTTCTTTCTCCCACCTCCACCACCACCACCACCACCACCACCACCTCCCCCATCCACACAACCACACCATCTGTCCCACCAACATAACCCCACTAATTCCCCCACCTACATGACAACCCCACCATCTCCCCCACTTACCCCCACCATATTCTTACAACCTTCACACAACCGACACCACCTCCCTACCCCCCCCCCTCCTACCCTCACCCCCCCTCCCCACAACTCCCACCTCCCCTACCCCCACCCCTCCCAGCCCTCACCCCCTCCCCCAACTCCCCACCCCACAACCCCCCGCCCCCCACAACTCCCACCCCTCCCCACATCCCCCACCCCTCCCCACAACCCCTACCCCTCCCCACAACCCTCACCCCTTCCCCCCAACTCCCACCCCTCCCCCCCAACCCCCCCCCAACCCCATCCCCTCCCCACAACCCCACCATCTCCCCAAACAGGCGGTACGGGACCAAATGCTCCGGGTGTGAGCAAGGTATCCCACCCACCCAGGTCGTGCGCCGTGCCCAGGAAAACGTCTACCACCTCCACTGTTTCGCTTGCGTCATCTGCCAGCGACAACTGAACACGGGTGACGAATTCTATCTGATGGAGGACAACAAACTGGTGTGTAAGAGCGACTACGAGCAGGCCAAGCAGAGAGGTATGTCGCTGAAGGGTAAGGTCGCCGTCTGGTTACGTTTTCACTCTTTGCGTGACTTGTCTGTTTACATTCTCCCGCCCTCCACCTTCCCTTACATTGGCTGCCGTGAGCATTTGTTGTTGAAGCTAGTAGGATATAATTCTGCCATTACTTAACTACTTCCTCACCAATTGAAAAAAAAAAGATCTTATATTTTTCCTATTTGTTAATCTTTGATATAATTTTATTTGTTTATTTAGCTACTTATTTTTTTCTCCTCCATCTGAATGTTATTTGCAACTGTGAATGCCAGCTAGCGACTCGAAAACTCAACCAACAATAATAAATTCAACACGAGAGTTTATTTTATTTGTAGAATGTAAATTACAAGGTTCTCAAGAGTGCATGTTCCGTGCGGAGTCGGTCCAGTTAACTTTGCAATATTGCCATTCAGTTAGTAGCGTTTAGTGCGTGGGGGTACAAATATAACCCAGGGCGTTCATCTGTCACGGGGAGCTATTTACTAGTCACAGTAGAGAGCTTGTGTTTCTCTACCACTATATATCTCGCCCAGGTCTACAGGTGTGTATCATCTAACTGTATGGATCTTTAGTTTGAGTTTTGACATCACACGATATATGACGGTGGTGTTTACTTTATCGTAGATCTTAGAACCACAAGGGGTCTTTGTATCACAGGGGGTCTTTGTATCACAGGGGGTCTTTGTATCACAAGGGGGTCTTTGTATCACAAGGGGTCTTTGTATCACAGGGGGTCTTTGTATCACAGGGGGTCTTTGTATCACAGGGGATCTTTGTATCACAGGGGGTCTTTGTATCACAAGGGGTCTTTGTATCACAAGGGGTCTTTGTATCACAGGGGGTCTTTGTATCACAAGGGGTCTTTGTATCACAGGGGTCTTTGTATCTAGGGGTCTTTGCATCTGGGGGTCTTTGTATCACAGGGGTCTTTGTATCTAGAGGGTCTTTGTACCAGGGGTCTTTGTACACAGGGGTCTTTGTACAACAAGGGGTCTTTGGGGGTCTTTGTATTACACTTTGTATCACAGGGCTTTGTATCACTGGGGTTCTTTGTATCTGGGGTCTTTGTATCTGAGAGGAGTCTTTGTTTAACAAGGGGTCTTTGTACAACAGAATCTTTGGGCTCAAAGTCTTTGTATCACACGGTCTTTGTATCACAGGTTCTTTGTATCACAGGGGTCTTTGTATCTGGAGGAATCTTTGCAACAACAGGGGTCTTTGTACAACAGGGTCTTTTACAACAAGGGGTCTTTGTACAACAGGGGGGTCTTTGTATTACATTCTTTGTATCACAGGGAGTCTTTGTATCACAGAGTCGTCTTTGTACAACAGGGGGTCTTTGTACAACAGGGAGTCTTTGTATTTCAGGGATCTTTGTACAACAGGGGGTCTTTGTATTATTTGTTTAATGATGTTTTTTATCACGGGGGTCTTTGTACAACAGGGGGTCTTTTAATCACAGGTCTTTGTATCACAGGGGGATTTTTTATCGCAGGGATATTTGCTCTTGAATCTAGCCTTAGAAATATTTGAATCAAGATCACTGAAACAATCTGTATTTTACACTTATTATTTTTATCCATCAAGTCAGTTTATTTTATTTTTTTGAGGCGCGGTAAAAATTTTGACAAAGGCTGTACACATTTTACATTAGTTGTCTAGATTTCACTGTAAAACTTTTCAGTAAGGTCCTATTTACACTTCACTGCCAGAAAGGGATTTTAGTCTCAGGCATTTTTTTATTATTTATTATTCACTGTTATCGTTTTATATTAATTATTTGGGTGTTAATTTTGGTTGACTGGAGAGTAAAGGCGTCAGTTGGGTAAAGGTCTTTGATAAAGTACTGTGCGTGTAAAGGTTATTTAAATAGTTAAATGTAATACGCATGTAAGATTCTTTACTGGGAGTGTTGTAGGTGTTGTTGTTGTGTTGAGTTCTCGTGTTGCCGCTGGCGTCACCCCCACCCACGCCCTCTACCGCCCCGCCCCACGCCCGGCCTAGCCCACGCCACGACCCGCTCACACCCGCATGCTATCAGTATTACCAACTTTTGCCAAAAATCAGCTTTCCAAAACTCCTTCACCCGGACTGTCCGGAAACCAACCCTCCTGAATGTAGGTGTTAGAAGCTGATGGTGTGGCGGCCGCTGCCACAGCTGCTGGGGCGGCTGCGGCGGCGGCGGCGGTGTTGGTGGTGGTGTAGGCTGGCCGCGTCCCCGCCACGCCCATCAGGAGACGTTCTGACTGTGTGTCTCGGGTGGCATGTGTTTACAGAGGACGACCTGAGTGGCAAGCGTCCGCGCACCACCATCAATGCCCGTCAGCTGGAGAAACTGAAGGCAGCTTACAGCAAGTGCGCCAAGCCGCCCCGCCACGTCCGCGAGCAGCTGGCGGCGGATACCGGCCTCGACATGAGGGTCGTGCAAGTCTGGTTTCAGAACAGGTACGTCTGGTGAGCTATGTGCCGCCCAGGCCGCCCGCCACCCACCCACACACCGCCCAGTGGTCCCCACAAACTCCCTTACTTCCTACTATTTCTTGCCTGTAGTGGAGCTTGGCATAAAACTTGTCACTTGCTGGCTGCTGTAACTGTCATCATCTCTCCCGTTTACTGTCTTCTGAAGACTAACTTTCTGTTTACCAGTCACACAAATAAAAGAACACTAAATTTATAAACCATCATATTCCATTGGTGAGTTTGGGGACCACTGGTGCTGAGGGACACTCGAGCTGTAACAGGAGGGGAGTGTGGGGGTCTGAACCAGCCAAACTGTCTGCCACCTCCACTGTTCATCAAAGCTGTGGTGATAGCAGCGCTGGTAGCTGACTGTCCACGCCCTAACACCCCGCACACCATCTTCTGTTGCCGCCTTCGTGTGCTGCCCAAAGGGGTAAGGTACAGTGGTGTCCTGAGCGGTACGAACACTGTAGAGGCGGCACCACTGCTCAGCCTAGCTGGTAGCCGCGGCAACACTGCTCTGGGAGTTAGATGGTACAGTAGTTGTATAGTAGCATTTTGCACCCTGGGCCCGGCGAAGGCTCCAGGCTGACTTTAGCAACTAATGTTAGAGCAACCATTTAGAGATTGTTAGAGCCAGGGTTGGGAGACTCCGAGACAGAGATAATATATTAGTGATCTCTGAGGACTGCTGCTGTGATTTATAACATTTCATGCTGACAGCACAATATGTCTTAGAGAAGCACTTAGACACTGCATGTTATGGGGCGATCACAGTAGACGCTAGGCTATAACCGGGCGGACTTTGCTAGCCCTAGTATAGGAATAATACTGTGTATTAGGCTGTTTCTAGACTGCACTATAGTGAAGGTATAATTTTAGCTTGTTAGGTTAGTTACCTCGACCTCTGCTAGCTGTATCATAGAGAAACACTTAACTGTCTAGGGTTTATATGGATGGGTTCTGCTGGTTCTAGTGTAGACATCTGGTGGACATCGGCTTAGGTGTGAGGCGACTTTGTACTGCTATCCAACGATAACAAAACACATTAGCATGAGTATTTTATTTTATTTTAGGAAGCATTGTTCATATGGTAAGTACATGTGGAACGAAATAAATGCTGTAGTGGGCGTTACTAGCCAGTACTAATAGTATTTACTGCCACCAGGCGGCCATAAGACAACTGATAAACACAATATTTACGTTCACATAATGGAAATAGACTGCACACGCCATTGTAATAGGGAGGTGACAAAGTTAATGGACATATAAGCTGGTTTATGTTACTGTTAGGTTTGGTGAGTTCAAAAGGCCTGCGTTCTGTCGATAAACGTTTGGTGAGTTCAAAAGGCCTGCGTTCTGTCGATAAGCGTTTGCACTACGCTACCATGAAGTACGTCATCACAGATAGCTTGGTTAGGTGAGGCTAAGCTGTTGAGATCAGAGTCGAGACTAAAGTGCCATATACGGTTCGATAAACGTGTGTACTAAACCACCATGAAATCTAGCAGTACCACAAATTTCCACCACCAATTACTGTTACAGCGTCTAATCCAAGATCACTCGAACACACACACCTGACCAAACTTGAGAACAGAAAAGTTTTTTGAGAGAAGTTGGATCTAAGTTTACAATTAGCTGATTGAAAAAAAAAACTGTAAATCAAAGAAACGTACAACATGAAACCCGAGGAGTGAAAGGCCAGCCAAGAAAGTTCTGGTCAACCCAACTTTGGTCAGCGGGATAACTAACCCCTCACAGGACTAATTTACAGAATGTGTTGATCACGTCAAACACCAACATTCTGGGTCCTTTCATCAAACTCATCTGGGAGAGAATTTGGGGTATGTGGTGATAATAAAAAACTAACTGTTTTTATACATAGTGTGTCATGCTTGTAGTAGTTTTAGGCATAATAGTAACAGTAAACTTTAATGTAAGCGTTAGAAATCCTATTAGAAAAAATAGTATAGCATTTGATTATGCCATAAGTGATGTTTACTTTGTGTACTATGAGAATGACGAGTGAAATGAGTGTTGTGACACTTTAGGAAGACGTCTGGTTTAAAAACAGGGGAGTAGTCAACTTGGGGCAGCAGACCGAGGAAGTCTACCGTAGTAATGGAGAAGTTTATATTGTACTGAATTAGCTATCAATGCTTGTACATAATTACAGTTTCCTTCCCCTTTTATTAGTAAGCGGGCTGTGCCGACCCTTCTGGCCCCACGGAAGTATTAGGTTACACTCACGCAATTTAAAAATTTTTCTTTAATAGTAATAACTATTTTTCATGCTTTTCGTATTCTGACTTACACATTCATTAGCTATGATGTTTGGTTTGTATAGCGTGCATCAAAGTGATCTAATATTATCAATACATTTTTTTAGAGTGAAGGAAAGGCGTTTAAATTAAAGACGAGCGCTAGTAAAGAAGCGTAGTGCCTTCAAACATTTATGTTCTCCCAGCCTCAAAAATTTGTGTATCTCGATAATTCATCACTATTTTATTGATGATGGGGTACACATATAAAGCAAAACAAAATCTACCATCTTTTCATTTTAAAATAAGACCACGGAATAGCGTTATGGCACCATGCTGGGAATGTTATCAAGAGACTGTCGGTGTGTCATAACCTGTGTTATAATTATGGTAGTGTGGGGTTCCTCTGGTTCAGTGAGTGGTGGTGAGGGTGTCCTGGGGTAATGAGTGGTGGTGAGGGTGTACTGGGGCAGTGAGGGTGTCCTAGGGTAGTGAGTGGTGGTGAGGGTGTCCTAGGGCAGTGAGGGTGTCCAGGGTAGTGAGTGGTGGTGAGGGTGTCCTAGGGTAGTGAGTGGTGGTGAGGGTGTCCTGGGGCAGTGAGTGGTGGTGAGGGTGTCCTGGGGTAGTGAGTGGTGGTGAGGGTGTCCTGGGGTAGTGAGTGGTGGTGAGGGTGTCCTGGGGCAGTGAGTGGTGGTGGTGAAGCTTTCTGAAAGTCTCCAGGAGCAGTTTTGTCTCTCAGTGTAAGATACAAGCCAGACCTGCACGATCCTCTTGTTGAACGGGATGTTGTTCACTGATTTTAAATCTTAAAATGCACTTAATTCATTCAGATCCCGTTTGTAATTTCCGTTTATAATGAAATTCCTACTCAGATAATGTTATAATAACTTCGAGTTGCCATTAGTCTTACTGTGGGTATAGTCTGGCATGATTTGTGTGTAAGTTTTCACCCTAACTGGTTTAGTCCCGCTAATAAAATCTACGGCTGTCATCTACCCACTTTCAGTTACCTTGTTCTTCCTCCTCTTTGTTCCCTGCATTCTCATCAGTCACTGATGAAAGTATATGTTTCTCTGTTTATACAAATGGGTTTACTTTCCTATTCTGTGTTTGTCTTTGTTTTCAAGTACGTTCCTATTTTAGCACGTAAAGGCTGCTCAGAAAATCACAACTCTGGACCGCAGATTGTGATATTCGGCAACTTTTATAAATCCTTTTCCTCCTGTCCGTTTCTGATAAACTCCTACCGTATTATAGTCTGTAAAGTAAGATTTTATTTATAATATATAGATCTTATATGATGGTGTCATATTTAAGTTTCTAAGATACTTAAAATTAAGTTAATAATATAACAGAAATATATTTATATCGATTTCATAAATTATATCTCTAAGGAACAATAGTTTTTATAAGAATTAATGAAATAATTAAGAGAGTCAAGATCGTGTGACTCAAGTTTGTTGATGAAGGTCAGGGGCGTTGTGTTGTGAGCGTGTTGTTAATGGGGACTTAAGCTGTTTACTGACGGCCGGTTGACGTCTGTTTGTTGCAGAAGGAGACGCGACAAACAAACGACCACGTACCACCATCTCGGCGCGGCAGTTGGAGCAACTCAAACAGGCCTACAAAGAGAGTCCCAAACCCGCTCGCCACGTTAGGGAACAGCTCTCTCAGACCCTTGGCCTCGACATGAGAGTTGTGCAGGTCTGGTTCCAAAACAGGTAAACAATCCCACCGCTGCCACCAGTTTTAGTCCAGTGTTAGGTAAAAATCCCCACCACTACCACCAGTATTGCCAGTGTCCAGTGCTGTTTGGAGGTCACTCCCACCACTGTCATTATCAAACTTGTTATCTAATGATTTATGGAGATCCCAGTTCCCTTCTGGGGATATTCTAATTTGCAGGAGGCAGTTTCCAGTCAGGGAAGCTATTGAAGTTGTTGTTCTGACTAAAGCAGAGGAGTAGGGAGGTAGAAAGTAAATTGCAGTTGTTCCTTCCTGCTGAACAGTCCGATAGGTCACTCCTGTCAATACTGACAAATTAAGGAAGGGAAAAAATCCATCGGGGTTACATCCTGTCCGTTGAACTGTTTTTCATTAGTGTTGAGCGAGTGTTGCCATGTTGTATGATCCTGGGGGGGGGAGGGGTTAAGAACCAATTTTATGCTCAAAGATTGCCAAAAATACACAAATTGCATGAACCAAAATACGATATACAAAATTAATAGACAGTAAATACAGTACTTAACCGTCTATATAAAACTACAACCGACAAACACAAAACAAGACTAAATACAATGAAAAGAAAAGAAAGAAACTTTGTCAAAACCTTTGGGTAAACTGTATTCAATCAACAACCAAAGCTAAAAAAAAAACATATCAATAAAGGAAACAATAACTTTATCACAACAATTTCCGAGAAAATCTTTATACGATCAAAACTCCAAATAAAAAAACAGATATAAATAAGAACGTCCTGTGTCAGCCATCTGTGAGAACATCCTGTACAGTGTAATCAAGAGTGATGGAGCCACAAGCCCAGAGATTCATCCACCATTTCACTGCCATGACTTTTATTCTTTCATTACCTATTGAGTGAGCTGGATTATTGAAGTAGAACAGAAATATTCCAGTCAATATATAATCTCCACAGCTCTCAATTAATATTTACGTCAGTTGGATTATTGAAATATTCCCAACAGAAATGCTCCATCTTCACCATCTACCTAACTGTGATGTTATTTTTTTTATTACCGATTACATAAACTAGGGGACGGCGGTGTTCACGTGTAATTAAGCCTAGACCAGGTGTGCGCTGAGTGGGGAGGGTTATACGAAACCTCAGGTGTGGAGGGGGAGGGGTGGTACACGCGTCCAACACCTGTACGGAACAACTGCAATAAATAAATGCTCAATACTCTTCGGGGATGAAGGGCAAAATAAGTAATAGGATGATGTCATGGAAGAAGTTTCGCGCGTAAAATAAGTAAGGATTGGCGTATAATAGGTAGGGGTTGGCGTATAATAGGTAGGTATTGGCGTATAATAGGTAGGTATTGGCGTATAATAGGTAGGGGTTGGCGTACAATAGGTAGGGGTTGGCGTATAATAGGTAGGGATTGGCGTATAATAGGTAGGGGTTGGCGTATAATAGGTAGGTATTGGCGTATAATATGTAGGGTTGGCGTATAATAGGTAGGGGTTGGCGTATAATAGGTAGGTATTGGCGTATAATAGGTAGGGGTTGGCGTATAATAGGTAGGGGTTGGCGTATAATAGGTAGGGGTTGGCGTATAATAGGTAGGGGTTGGCGTATAATAGGTAGGGGTTGGCGTATAATAGGTAGGGGTTGGCGTATAATAGGTAGGGGTTGGCGTATAATAGGTAGGGATTAGGGTATAAACGTCGAGACGGGTAAAATAATTAACATTTGGGAAAGTATTCATACGTTAAGCTGGCCATCTCTCTCTCTCTCTCTCTCTCTCTCTCTCTCTCTCTCTCTCTCTCTCTCTCTCTCTCTCTCTCTCTCTCTCTCTCTCTCTCTCTCTCTCTCTCTCTCCTTCATCCGTCCCACTTCCATGACCCCCTCCATCCTCTCGCCTTCCTCTCCTCCCCTCTTCCCTCCCATTTCCCTGTCCCACCTCCATTCGTTCCCCCCCTCCCTTCCAACCATCTTCCCTTCCCCATCACCGTCCCTCCTTCCCTATCTCCTTTCCTCCCTCCTTCAATCCCATTTCCCTTCTCCATCTCCCTCCATCTTCTTTCCTCCTTCCATCCCTTCTCGTATCCTCCCCTCCCTCCTGCCCCCCCTCCCTCGCGGCCCGGCTCCCTCATCTTACTAATGGATATGGAAGAAAGTCGTAAAAGTTTGGAGGAATATTTTTAAACGCCTTACGATGTTTCTAGTGACGTCAAATCTGGCGGCTCCTGAGGAAGTGGATAAGTGATTTGGAGAAAAAAAAAAACCCTCCCTGATATTTTTTTTGTTAATTGTACCATGAGTCACTTACGACCTTACACAAATGAAGGGTCACCTGAAGAATAGACACCCCAGTTTATTTCACCTGAAGATTAGACACCCACACGGTAGCCTCGCTTAACCTTACCTAACTTACCATAACCTAACCTAACCTAATACTAACTTAACGTAATGCTAACCTAACCTAATGCTAACCTAACCTAATACTAACTTAACGTAATGCTAACCTAACCTAATGCTAACCTAACCTAATGCTAACCTAACCTAATACTAACCTAACCTAATGCTAACCTAACCTAATACTAACCTAACCTAATGCTAACCTAACCTAATGCTAACCTAACCTAATGCTAACCTAACCTAATGCTAACCTAACCTAATACTAACCTAACCTAATGCTAACCTAACATAATACTAACTTAACCTAATGCTAACCTAACCTAATGCTAACCTAACCTAAGAACAAAAGGCTAATCTAGTTTAAAGCGAACTTAAAGGTAACACAACGTAATGTAACCCAAACGCTAACCTAACCCTCATCTAACCACACACTAACCTAATGCTAACTTAACCTAATGCTAACCTAACCTAATACTAACTTAACGTAATGCTAACCTAACCTAATGCTAACCTAACCTAATGCTAACCTAACCTAATGCTAACCTAACCTAATGCTAACCTAACGTAATGCTAACCTAACCTAATGCTAACCTAACCTAATGCTAACCTAACCTAATGCTAACCTAACCTAATGCTAACCTAACGTAATGCTAACCTAACCTAATGCTAACCTAACCTAAAAACATAAAGCTAATCTAGTTTAAAGCGAACTTAAAAGTAACACAACGTAATGTAACCCAAACGCTAACCTAACCCTCATCTAACCACACACTAACCTAATGCTAACTTAACCTAATGCTAACCTAACCTAATGCTAACCTAACCTAATGCTAACCTAACCTAATGCTAACCTAACCTAATACTAACTTAACCTAATGCTAACCTAACCTAATGCTAACCTAACCTAATGCTAACCTAACCTAATGCTAACCTAACCTAATGCTAACCTAACGTAATGCTAACCTAACCTAATGCTAACCTAACCTAAGAACATAAAGCTAATCTAGTTTAAAGCGAACTTAAAGGTAACACAACGTAATGTAACCCAAACGCTAACCTAACCCTCATCTAACCACACACTAACCTAATGCTAACTTAACCTAATCAAATGCTAACCTAACTCTAACCAAACCTATCCTGACCTGCTTAAGCTAACCTAACCTATAATACTAAGTTAACCAAACATAATATAATCGAACCTAACAAAGCCAAATCTAATCCCACCAGGTTAGGTTGTGGTCTTTAATAATCAGGTGAAATAAACTGGGGTGTCTAATATTCAGGTGATTAGCAATATATATATAGATAGATATATGCAGCCCCCCTGTATATATATAAAATGTATACTTCAGGAATATGTTAATCAGCAAATGTATAGATTAAAAGCTTAACATCAACACCGGAAAAAGATAGAGGGATAGCAACGAATGCTTTTATCTGTGTCTCTTAAAGCTAACACAATATTGCTCTCCCTTTCTCTCTCTTTAACAGGCCTACGGTAATCTCTCTCTCTCTCTCTCTCTCTCTCTCTCTCTCTCTCTCTCTCTCTCTCTCTCTCTCTCTCTTTAAGCCACAACTCTCCCACATAGGCCTATTGTTCCTTCTATTGTTAAACTTCTGCCTTGTGTTTTGTTGACTGCAGTCCTTTTGTGTTCAACCCAACCACTCTACTATGCCTATCATCTACTATGCCTATCATCTACTATGCCTATCATCTACTATGCCTATCATCTACTATGCCTATCATCTACTATGCCTATCATCTACTATGCCTATCATCTACTATGCTTATCATCTACTATGCCTATCATCTACTATGCCTATCATCTACTATGCCTATCATCTACTATGCCTATCATCTACTATGCCTATCATCTACTATGCTTATTATCTACTATGCTTATTATCTACTATGCCTATCATCTACTATGCTTATTATCTACTATTCTTATTATCTACTATGCCTATCATCTACTATGCTTATTATCTACTATGCTTATCATCTACTATGCCTATCATCTACTATGCCTATCATCTACTATGCTTATCATCTACTATGCCTATCATCTACTATGCTTATCATCTACTATGCCTATCATCTACTATGCTTATTATCTACTATGCTTATTATCTACTATGCCTATCATCTACTATGCCTATCATCTACTATGCCTATCATCTACTATGCCTATCATCTACTATGCCTATCATCTACTATGCTTATTATCTACTATGCTTATTATCTACTATGCCTATCATCTACTATGCTTATTATCTACTATGCTTACCACCTACTATGCCTATCATCTACTATGCTTATCATCTACTATGCCTATCATCTACTATGCTTATATCAACTATGTTATTATCTATGCCAATCTACTATGCCTATCATCTATTCTACTACATCATCTACTATCCATATCTACTATGCCTATCATCTACTATGCCTATCATCTACTATGCCTATCATCTCCTACTATGCCTATCATCTTCTACCATGCCAATATCTCCTACTATGCCTATCATCTCCAACTATGCCTATCATCTCCTACTATGCCTATCATCTACTATGCCTATCATCTCCTACTATGCCTATCATCTCCTACTATGCCTATCATC